GAGGAGGAGGAGGAGGAGGAGGAGGAGGATGAGGAGGAGGATGAGGAGATGAAACCAAAAGAGGATGATGAAGAGATGAACAAAAATGAGGATGATGATGACAATAAGGATGAGGAACATTTCGTTGACGTGGGGACCCAGCAGCCAGAGTGCATGCTAGAGCAGGTGCAAGGGAGAGTGGTGACCTATAGTGAGCTGGAGGCCCACTTTCTGACCCACCATCTTCATCATCACCACCACCACCTCTACCAGCTGATGCAAATGGAGGAGCCTGTCCTGGTTGACACTTCAACCCAAACTATTAGCTCCGAAATATACTATGCTGAGAATTTCCTGGATGAATCGCCTCCTATACAGCCGAGCAGACGGAGGAACCAGAATCGAGTTCCACTTCTGGAGGGCCTTCCAGGTACCAATTCACCATTCCACAGCTCGCCACCACTGATTCGCCGTGCACGTCGCATGGGGCAACGCCAAATTCGAAGACGTCCACCAGTGCTGTTCCGCCTCACTCCGAGACAGGGGGGCCACCGAGCTGCTCATGGCCGAATTCGCGTGTGAGTACTGGGGCCACATGGAACACACCCTTCTACTGCGTCCCCTGCCCCTGCTATTGCTGCCACACGTGCCCCTTCTACTGACCAGTTCTTAAAGGCATTCCAGACCTGTATGACCTGAAGAAGACCTGAAGAATTCCAGACCGTCTTGCAGCCTGACCAGAGAGTGACAAGTGCCCAACCAAGGCCACCTGGGAAAGGAAGGACAACAACAGTTGTCCTGTTGCACGTACTCTGCTCTGTCCTGCCACAAGCTGAAGAGCAGGTTTCTGGGCCTGTTCCCTAAAAATGAACTGGTCACCCTTTTGTATTCCTCTCTAGTTGTTCCCAGCCCTCACTCTCCTGTGTTTCTTCACCCTGTGTTCTACAGTTTTATCCTCTGACTGGCTCACCAGGACTTCACCCAATGCCTCACTGATCTGCCCCAATGATTAAAAGGACAGGCTACACTGAACTCCTAAAGCCACTGAGGCCATTTATTAGGTAAAACTGACTGTGAGCAGGACAGCACCAAGAAATGTACCCAGAAGCCTATTCTTATTTCATGCCATACCTCCAGCAAAAAGGCCTGGAAGAGGACCCTACACTTAGCCCAGTGGACAACTTGACTGAGATTTCTCCTTGACTGACTGGCAGCCTGGTCCATTTTCAGCACCTGAATTTACTTTCCTCCAGACTTCTGTATCAGGGCCCTTGGACCAGCCTGGCCAAATGTGGGGCCCTCTCCTCTTACCACACTGCCCTCCTGACTTTCCCTGTGGGCAGAATTCAACATGCCAGCCTCTGCCCCTTTCCTTGATGTTGCCTAAAGGGTAGGCAGCTGGGGGTTGGGAATAGGAAGTGGAAGAAGTCACACAACTCAGTTTGACATCCTAAGGAATAACTTTTTCTTTAGGGATGGAGGTCTGCCCCCATTGCAGGCCTTAGACTACTGCCCCCAGCCAAAGGTCTCTGCAGGTGACTTTCTGGCCTTGAGTACTATCCTTTCCTTCCAGGACAGCCAGAGAGAGAGAGAGAGAGAGAGAGAGAGAGAGGGGAGAGAGAGGAAGGTTGGTTCTGCAGAGACTATACCCACTGCAGCCTCATGGCTGGGACATCCTTGGGGATCTCATGAGTGATCAACCCCTGGCTGCCACTGTGCTTAAATTAAATGCTGAGGCTGAAGGGTATGGCTGCCTCCAAGGCACTCCTAGGACTTCTGGGCACAAACCCAAGGTGCCTCATAAAGAGACCTGCTGCTCACCCTGGGTCCAGAAAACACTGCTTTTGCAGTGAAAAATATACATTTACTATGTCAGCTCTGGCTACAAAATGCCGACCAAATCAGCAGCTGGCCCAAACTGCCCCTGGACACTGAACTTTCTGTGCAGTGCCTGGCACCTGGGAAAGGGCAGCCAAAGTGTCTGTGGCCAGAGGGAAGAAAACATAGTAAAAGAAGTCTCTGTTCCTTACCGGAGTCTGACAGGTAACCTCAGCCTAGCCTTAGGATATTGGGCCTGGAGGCCAGAGGAAGGAACTGGAGGAAGAGGAGTCACAGAGAGACCCAGTCCTCAGACTGGTTTTGGGTGAGATCTCTATTCGTCAGTAGGAGGTAAGATGCCCTTTTGTTTATTTATTTATTTTTTTTGCTTCTCAATGGAGTTAGGTTCCTATAACCTGTTGCTACCTTTTAAAAAGGTCCCCCAAAGATAAGAGTAATACATAGTCATAGAAAATTTGGAAAATTGAGAAAATCTTAAGGCTCGAATACTCTCAACCATTCAGAATCCCACCACACAGATGCAAGCACTGTTAACACTTTGCTGCGTTTTCTTTTCATGTGTTCTCGTGATATCTTTTCAAAGCTGAGATCATCCTGCTAGTGCTCATTTGTGGGATTTCAAATGGCTGCCATCTTTGCAGTCACGCACACTGAAGAATTTATTTAAGCATTCTCCTAATTTGTTAGACATTTCAATTGTGTGCTTTTGCCTATTCTCACCAGGGCAGGAGTAAACAACCTTGTAAAGACAATTTTGTCTGTTTTTCAGCTTATTTCCTCAGGAGGGAGTTCCAGAAGAGGAATTGCTATTCTTCGAGGCTGTGAACCCTGTTTGCTGATGTTGACCTGCTGGCCCAGCTGCCCATGTGCTGATGGAGAAGTGCAATGGACAGGTGCCTTGCACGCCCACTTCCGGGGAGCCATCAGCACAGGCCCTGCCTGTTCCCACATTGCTTCTCACCTGGACCCTTGTAGACTCATCCAGGGAGAAAGCAGATGAGCAGTGAGCTGGTTTTCAGGCCTCTGGGGGCAGAGGGGGGGTTGGGCTTCCCTTTGACCCTCTCCCCACTTTCCCAGATCTTCAATATTTGTTGTGATGTGACAGCCATGAGAGCTGTAAGAGCTGTGGGCTTTGGGTGCCTCCTTGTTAAGGGGAGGGTGGGGGGTGGGTGGGAAATGCATGCAGGGGTATGGAGGTAGCCCAAAGATTCCCAGAGCCTAGGGAGGAAACTCCTTTGAAATAAATGTGTTGTTATTATTGTGTTATTGTTGTATTACTGTGTTGTGAAGATAAGAAGTTACTCTGTACGCTAATGCTTTCTCTCCTCAATAAAAATATAAAGGGTGTGTAAAGATGGTGTCTGTCTGTGTTATTGGGCAAACATAGATGGGTGCCCAGTGGGCATGGGGTACTTTATCTAGGCATCGCAGCTGAATCGAGCCTAGCCTGGCATTCCTTGCATGAGGAAACTTAAGCCCAGTGAGATTTAAGGGATCTGCCTACACTCCCACAAATGTCTGGATGACAGGAATTGCTGGCAGGGAAATGGAAGCACTGGACTTCTAGAAAAACAGCTAGCATTCGTTCTAACACACACGCGCGCGCACACACACATACCCCCCAACTTTGCAAGGAGGAGGGGAAAGCCAGGTGGGGTGGGTAGGGAGGACCCTCCACTCTTCCACTTTAAGGCACTAGGTGGTGCTATGAGATGCCAGTGAGCTAGCTGGAGAAGACTTGGAAATAAATCCCCAGAGCAGTTGGCACAGGGGCCCTTCCAGCACAGTCTCAGGGCTCCTCACAGACTGCGGGGTCAGAAGAAACTGAATCCCATTCCCAGACATGACTTGGATATTGTTTTCCTGGAGAAATGGGTGGGAATGCCCCAGTTACTTGCAAGTGCCACGCCAGGCACTTTACATCTCCCATCTTATTTCACCCTGATAACCATGCTGGGGGCAGGCACTGTTTGCACCCACATCTTCAAGATGAGGACACAAGCTAAGAGCGAAGCCACTATACAGCTGAGTGGCGTCTTCATAGCCATGCACTTGCCCATGAGCTTGGGGGTCACTTAGCCCCTCTCTGCCAACTCCCCTGGCCCTCCTACCTAATAGGCCAGGATGGCCTCCTGGTTCTGCTCTGCCCCGCCTCCCCCACAGCTTGCAGGGTTCTTTGGAGAAGCAGCCATGGTTTCACAGGAACATTTGCCATGCCCCTTTAAGAAGAAAGAAGGAAGGAAAAAAGGGAAAGAGGGAGGGAAGGAAGGAGGGAAGGAGAAAATCAGTGTGGTTCTGATCATGTGCCTGGCACTTTCACCAACATCATCACCTCATTTCATTGTCGTGCAGCAGAAGTTAGACTAGGTTGCACCTCACAGGAGCTTTTCTGCTTTGTCTGGATTAAGGAAATGCTAGAAATAAGGAAGGAAGGAGGTATAACTGATATGCACTAATAAAAAAAGATGTGAAGAAAAAAGGAAGGAGGGAGAGGAGGGCAGTAGAAGGGTGACAAGGGCAGTGAGGGTCTCCTAAACCCTCTTCCCAAAGATGGGGAAGACAAAGCAAATCTTGCTGCCTGTGAAGCAGGCTCAACAGTTCCCTCGCTTGTTATGTAAGCAAGGAAACAGGCACTTGAAAGGTCAGGCAACTGACTCAAAGCCACTTGCCTCATTTGCCCAGTTGGACTGTGAACCCCAGCAGTCTGTCAGCCAGACTTTATGCTCTTAACCTCTACCCTCTACCTGCGCCCACAGAAATTTCCACTTCTAAAAAGCTCCCAGGCTCTTCTAACACCTAGCCCAGCCTAGTCAGAATATAGCCTTGGAGACTTATTAATCCAGGTGACAGTTAAAGGCCAGTTTGGTTTTGAGATCCACTTCTACATGCAGTAAGTGATGGAAACATGCATGTACAGTGATTGCCAGCATGCACCACGGTCTGGTGTGGGCATGCCCCTCCTGGACACCTGCCTCAGGTCACTGCTGACACTCTCCTGAGAACTGAGTCGTGGGGTGGGTGCAGAAACCTGGCCCACCCGAGTGAAAGCCTGGGCTCTTCACCACAAGAACTGGATCATGGGGCTGGGGGAGGGGCAGCGTGGGCTCCTCCAGGGAATAAACACTGGCATTAAGGGGGCAAAAGACTATCCCCCAAATTGAAGAATTCCACCTTCCTGCTAGCACTTCCTGCATCCTGCCCAGAAGAAGGAGTGCTCAGCAGGCCACCTCTCCCTAGGGACGCCATGCAGAAATTTAGAGCCCAGTTCACAGTTGCCTTGGTAACAGTGGGACCTACTTGAAAGAAAACAATCTCTTAAAGGCTTACAAGGGTGGATATTTCCTTTGATTGAGATCTGGCTCAGACCTGCTCCCTGCGTCCCCTCTCCTTCCTGCCTGCCACACACGGGGGTGGGGGTGGGGGTAGTGCTGGGATCCCTCACCTCTGCAGCCCTTGCCCAGAAGCTAAAATGGAAGATGTGGCTCCCTGGCAATGCTGTGTGAAGGGGAAGCCTTCCCCTGTAGGATTTTCACAAAACAAAACCCGAGGAGGGAGGGCCAGTGCCCCCAGAAATTCTCATTTTCCTCCTCACTTACACACAGAGATGAGGCCTGTTGGCCTATGGCACAGGCTGGAGAATGTCCCAAAGTTCCAGATGTCTCACCTACTATTTCATTACTTCTTCCTCTCCTCTCTGGACTTGCTGAAGTAGCTCCCTCCTGGTTTGGCCAGCCTTTAATCTTTACTTTTAATCAACCTACTTCCTACCTGCCCGTGTAGTGGTGTTGGGCAGGTGCCATAGTCCTTGGAACTCACAGGTTTGGTTCTGTTTCTCCTTCCTTCAATGGCTCTTCTTCCTCAGAAGAAGACTTGTGGCATTCTAGCATTCTTCACTGTATGGTCATAAACTATCCATGCCAGTTCATCTGCCCATGCAATACTCCTTCCTTTCGCTCTTTAACCCAAACTCCAGACATCCTGAGTGATTTCCTTCTTTTCCTCACATAGCAGGTGCTTTCATGCATCTGGACCTTTGCATATCCAATTGCTTCTGTCTTAAAACTTCACAAACATGGGGCATTGGGGAATACAGCTCAGCAGTACAGCGCTTTCCTAGCATGCATGAGGCCCTGGGTTCAACCCATAGCACTTTAAAAAAAATTCACAAACATGCTGGGCATGGTGGCATATGCCTAGAGTTCCAACTACTTGAGAGACTGAGGCAAGAGAATTGCTTAGACCCAGGAGTTTGAGATTAGCTTTGGCTACATAAGGAGACCCTGGCTCAAAAGAAAAGGGAAAAAAATGACAAACACTCCTAGCCCTACTTCAACTGGCAGTCTTCTTCTCAGCTCAAAGATTACTTTCTTCATGAAGTCGCCTCTACTCCCCACACAAGTACAGCCCTTCAGAGTTCTCCCCAGCCCCCTCCCCCAGCCCCACTGCTCCATGAGGCTTGCAAGGCTACTGCTGAGTGTGAGAATGTGGACTTGCCCCCTTTGCAGATGGAAAGTACACTGGCAGTAGTCTTGAAAGAGGACCTGCCCCTTAAGACCTGGCTGAGGGCTGACGGTGTGCAAGTGAAGCTGAGAGATCCCCAGATAAAGCTGGCTTGTGGATAGTAGACAGGTGGGGAAAAGGGAGCAGGAATTTGAAGAGCTGGTTGCTCCATCCCAGCTGAGCTCCTTGTTGATGGTCACCATGTCTTTGGGGGCTGTTACTTCCTCTCACAGGTGTAGTGGAGAGTGACTTCTGCTGGGTCTCAGAGTCACACAGGCCTGTTTTTGTTTTTGTTTTTTTTTTTTTTTGGTACCAGGGATTGAATTTGGGACCTTGAGCTTGCAAGGCAGGCGGTGGAGACACTGAGCTAAATCCCCGGCCCCCTGGCTTTGAACTCTGGCTCTGCCACACCCTTGCTGGTGCCCTCCAGCTGGCCATTTCATTTCTCTAAGCCTTAGTTTCTTTTTTCTAAAAACGGAGGTAATATCAGAATGTATTAATGGGCTTATTAATATGCTCATTAATACGAACCAGCAACAACAAAATAGCTAATACTTTTTATAAATTATTGTTTCTTTATTGAAGTACTGGGGATGGAACCTGGGGCCTTGTGCATGCTAGGCAAGTGCTTTGCCAATGAGCTACGCTCTCGGCCTTTTAAAG